CTTGTGCTCTCACAGAAACATTTTTTTTTGCACATTTCAAACAACCAACTCGAGCGTAATATTTTTTTCATTTTTTTTCACATCTAGCAAATCACTGTGAAAATGGAAGTAAATGTGTTCGTTTGTTGTACTTCAGACTTTTAAGACGCGTTTTCAATGGCTTTATATCATAGTCATTTTCTTGAACTGTTAGATTGCGTGCCGTGGAGGGTTTGTTTTTCTTTTAGTCTCAATGTGGATATGTAAAAAAATAGCTTTTGTCTTCACAGTCAAACCAGAAGGGTGTTTGAGTACTCATGGATAAAATCATGTGCTAAAAATAGTATGGTTATCCTACTGAGCAACACGTAGCAAAAATTGTTTTTCTTGCTTTTCCAGATGAGCTAGTAGCAAACCAAATATGACGCCGCTAAAAACATTCAATACAAGCAGCTATTTATAATATCCTCTATATATTACATGTTTTCGAGGTTAAAGGCTGCAAAAAACAGGTTAGAAAGTAAAACCTTTAATGCATGACACGGAATTTTGCGGAACATGCTGTATTGATAAGTTTTGACGGGATATGAAGTCGATTATCGCACAGACCTTATTTTTGCTGCATGTGCAAAAGATGTTGTCAAATAANTAACGTGTGAAAAGCAAGTTACATTTTTCTATGAAGCTAAAAATTGAGGAATTTAGTAAGTATTTTGCATTTTATTGAGATACTACTTAAGAAAAGTACTACAATATGTCGATTTGCGCTTGAGAATCGAGATTTCTTTCAGTTCAACGATTGTTCATAATGAGTCTCTTTATAAATTCGTTACATTCAAGTACACGATAAACAAGCTACTAGCTTAACCTAAAAATATGAATACCAGCTTATTTACTAAACGCAATTTATTTATATATAAATAGGTCTTTATTTGTAGCTTTGGGAATATTTTCGTACGGTTTGTTGTCATTGCAGTTCTTGTATCGCTCGCATAAAATTATCTTCAGTTTGATATTGTTGCCAGATACCAGTTCAATAAAAAATCTCTATGAACATGAATTCCACCTTCTTATCCATTAAACGGAGTTCATACGACCAATGCTTTCATGTGTTATTTGTGGCTTTGTGAATTTTTTCGTCGGTAATGCTGAAGGTTAGCAATTTGTCCCGGGCGATGTGTGATACCCTCTCCCGCGCTATATTTTTTCATGTCAGCGGTTGCGTTAGTAACTTGTAACGCATATATATGTGACAGGTAATCAAAGGATGTCTACTCGTATATGAAAATATTTCTCGACTATTACACTTATATTGTCGAAATTTAACAAAGGAAGCTCAGAATAAAAGAAACTAGACGGCTAGCGTAATTGTACATGTTGTTCCTTTGAATTTGTTGAGTGATTGAAAACACATTTATTAACATTTTTCTACGATTTTTTGTGATAAACTGTCAACTAGCAAGAACGCCAAGGTATGATAGTTTCTACAAACAACAGATGTCAAGATGTAGCAATTGCGGATCCTGTATACAGCATAGTAAAAAATATAAAAAAAGTTAAATTTATATCGTCTCGACTGAAAAAGTCAACTGTCGATTATTTTACGATTTATTTTCATCCAATCTTTTTTTAAAATTACGGAAATATTAATATGCATTCGGCACATCATATCAGTTGTCACGCAATGGTGTTGTCACGTACGGAATAATGTACGTCACTCACTGGTGCGTTTGCAAGTTTTTGTAACAGTTTTCTCGATGACATACTATTACTTTAACACGAAATAAGATCTAAAAACATTATGGACATTATGTGCAATACAGTTCATGAATGAATGTAATACAAAAATGTCACGATTGCACTTAGGACTTATGTTGAACTGACACAATTATGTCAGCGGTTGTTTATTAATCCAAAAACCTTGTATTTTTGGGTTTGAATGACAGTCAAACGAAAATAAAATATGTTAACTTGCGGGCAAAGATTTGAATTACAAAGGCGTAAACGAGAAGTATTTTCATCATTTTAATCTTACATATTTCTTAGCTGACAGACCATAGTCTCAGAGTACTTTTTGTTTGAAGGTTATTAGTCTTTCGACTAATCTTTATTCCGTGTTGAAATTGTTCAATTTTGGATCTGAAAGTGTAAAGATATTTCCTAATTTTCGCCGAAATTCTAATAACGTACTGATACGTACGAATTAATCAACAACAAAAATATACAACGAATGTGTGACAATGTTGTTAAAGCCCCTAGTGTGACAAGTGCATATTGTTATATACACAACCGCTGACATGAAAAAATATATCGCGGGAGAGGGTATCACACATCGCCCGGGACAAATTGCTGACCAATGCTGAAGTGCAGGCACGTCGAAGCGGCTAATAAAACATCATTTAAAGAGTCAAAACAAAATCTTTCAGCAAGTATATTCCTGCAGTTTTTCAAAAATCTCATCTTGATATCATTTCCATACCAATTCTGAAAGGAAACGTAACATAAAGCTTTACTTCAAATCATCGACGAAGATGTAAATGTTTTCATTCAGCGAAAGCAGTACATATTCCGTTGCTGGTTTTACCTACCTTTTTCTAATTTTTTTTGCGTCCAGTTGACCTTTTGACAGACATGCACCCTTTCTCCTCAAAGAACACATAGTTTATGATTCATCTAAGGTCACTAAAAAGGCAATTTTGATGCAAAAAGAAAGAAAGTCGCCCGCCGTCGTCCGCCATTTTTTTCAAATTTTGTCAAACCTGCCAACTTCGCCTTTCGTTAAAACGTGAACTGTAATTGGCTGGTTGAAAAAGCCATTGAAATGTTTGAGGTAAGGAGAAACCTAGTTTTGATCATAAAAATTATACTCGAATTCTAAAGTTTTTAAAGCCATATTTTAGAAAAAAGAGTTATTTTATAAAAGCAATAGATAACTTTTTCCCTGTGTTTACATAGCCTGATGCAAACACTCGGGCAGGTTGGGAGAATTCTCGATGGTTATGCAAACCTCGACTTCGTCTCGGGTTTGCATAACCGTCTCGAATTCTCCCAACCTACACTCGTGTTTGCATCAGGCTATGTAAACACGGAAAAAGTTATCTATTACTTAAATAGTTTGCTAATATAAAAATTAGGTAAAACCTAATAGCGGAGCTCCCAAAAGATATGCATGTTGGATGAAGATGTGATGCAAGACACATTGGTCAGATTTTGAGTACATGTTTTGTCAAGACTAATTTAATATTTTTGCTAACAAAAAAAAAATTCCATGGCACTACATTAAATAATTATTAAACTTTTTCTCTTCAGCTTTGTTGATGCAAAGCAGTGATATATATAATTTTATGTAAAGAATACCACTTATTTTGAATTCTTGTGGTTATTTACCAAAATAAAACTTCCTTAGATAATCTTACAGAAATCATAAATTAATATTAATTATTAATATATTTTGAAACTTTGACATTTTTTAATCATACAGGAATTATAAATAATATTAAATGCATTTGGACAGTTTTGGTATTTTTCAATCATTAAAGGAATCATAAAATAATAAYAAATGCATTTTGACAGTTTTGAAATTTTGCAATCATGCAGAAATAATAAAAATAATAAGAAATGCATCTTTATATGTCAATAGAAATTGTTTGCAATTTTGTTGTTTTAATTTTTCTTAATAGTTGGTATGTTTCAATCTTTACAGGAATCATCAAATAATATAAATGCATTTTGACAGTTTTGGTATTATTCAATCATGCAGAAATCATAAATTAAATGATAATAAATTCTAATGATTATGTAACTACAGACTTTTGCTTACACCAATGTCATTTAATAGACAGAACATTACAGCTGTCGCTTGAAGATATGAATGTTATCTTCAAGTTTTGAATTTATATATCCCACGAGTTAGCACAATATTTCCATGCACCCATGTAATATCCTTTATTTAATCACACAGGAATGATAAATAATAATAAATACATTTTGGCAGTTGATATTTTTCAATGATACAGTGATCCAAAAAAAAATGATTTATGGGTCATTTATGCAATTTAACAGTTTTGTTGGTTTTTCAATCACACAGGAAACATACGTAATAATAATTTAATCAAACAGGAATGACACTAATCAATACATTTTTGACATACAGTGATCATAAGTGATAAGTAATAAATACATTTTGACAGTTTTGTAAACAAAGGAATCATAATGTTCATAATAGTTATCCATTTTTCATCTTCTCAAATTCTTTGCTTATCTTTGCTCTCTGTATTTGTTGACAGTTTGTATTAAAGAGTTTATTGAAGAATAAAGAGTAAAAATCTTTTCAAAATGCATAGTTTTATAAATTAAAACATCCGAGTAGTTTTATGTCAAAGAAGATTATTAAGTTATTGTGGATAGAATGTACGTGTACACAATTCACACATGTTTTCATTGTCAACAAGCTCATTTTTTGAAGTGTATCAGGTGAAGATTTTCAAATTCAAAAGCAAATTTAAACCAGATTAAAACTGCCAAAGGTTCTTGAAGTAGAGGAATTGATATAATTTGAGCACCAAAAACCGCTTGTACATAAGTAACATACCGCCATTTGTTTAATAACGCCACGATATCGTCAGAAAATATGTCAGTTCTCCTCTGAGAAATTCTCCATCAATAATCGTTGTCTTTGGCGTTCACTTGTTTCTCGATTTGCTTTTGTTTCGTCTCTCACGTTTTCCCTTTCAAGCCTGCGTTGTTCTTCACTTAGACTTCTTCGACGCTCTCTTTCTCTTCTTCTTGTCTTCTCTTCTTCAGATAAAGATCGCTTTCCGTTAGCTACCCGTTGATTTTCCGACATTTAGCGCAGAAGTAAAGTATATTGAAAGGACAAAAATGGAGTCGTTGTGGTGAAAAAGTTGTTTCAACAATTGACGCGAGCGCGCTTCCTTTTCCCGGCTTCTCAAAAGTAGCCAATCAGAATCGCGATGTACACGGACGGACGGAAGGACAACTGGGCTTCCTGTGTCGGTTGATCAAAACTNGATTGCAAATTCAAGTTTTGACTTCTTTCCATAATCAACAGAGAGGCGCTCTGAGAGAAGGGAGGAAAATCCAGAGCCAGTTCCTCCACCAAAGGAATGGAAGATCAGAAAACCTTGAAGACCAGTGCATTGATCAGCCTGTAAGTGTAAGAACAAAAACTAAGAGAAAGTGCCGAGAATGACGGAAATAAAAAAAATAATCAATCGGAGAAAATGTACACGTATAATGCACAATTTACAATGCATAGGGAACAATCAGTAACAGCGCGGAGTTTTATGAAGAGTTTATTGTTTCAAGCATTAATAATCAGCTCACCAGCTTTCGAGTTCTGTCAAGTACGAGATCAATGATTTCTTTGCCAATAGTATAGTGACCCCTGGCGTAGTTGTTGGCTGCGTCCTCTTTACCAGTGATGAGCTGCTCGGGATGAAAAAGTGAACGGTAGGTTCCAGTTCTTACTTCATCTGAATTACAAAGAGATTTGTTTATTATTATCATTCTTTTAGACAAATACAAACTATAGTAAATCTTCCATATTTCTTTCATAARCTCGCCACATTAAAGTTTCAAAAATTGAGGATTTTCGATTCTTCCTATTATAATTATACCATCGGTTCACAAACAGATATGCATTTAGCTAAGATGTGATACCGTTACATTAACCGAGTCATAGGCCAATTAATGGATAACTCAGTCATTTAAAATCAAGAAGCTAGTGAAAAAAAAAACACCACTCAAAAGAACGACCTAAACTTAGAAAATTTGCTAAATTTGAGAATAATCCGTTGAAAAGTACAGAAGATAAACCCCTCAAAAATAAAAAAAAACGTATTCCCACCAAACTACATTACTTTGTAAAATTTTGTTAATTTGAGTAGCTCTTTATGCGGGGGAGAGGGAGCCCGTCACTAAGAGCGGCTGCGAGGAGAGTATTTGAAGAGCRGCATCTTCTCAAATTTTGAACTGATCATTCTCAAACTTTGCAAATTTACTAAATTAAGGCCATTCGTTTCAGTGACGGRGATGATTTCACACTAGCGGTTCAATYTCGAATAGATAAAAAATTGCAAGCTTTTGAGAAATTMCAAAGCGTGATGCTAAATGTTATCTCAGACTTCATGGATCATTCACCATCCCCCGGCGGTATTAATTGTTTTCTAATGCTGCTATGGAAACTATCAAGCAAACAAGCAAAAATAAGAAAAACGCGCTCTTGGTGGCCATACTTATTAATGAAAGTCATTATCTTAAATTTCTAGTAGGAGTTTGGGTGGATATGGATAATTATTTTGATAAGTAAGCTGGATTCGTGCAAAGCAAAGTTTATAAGKAACAATTTGGATTGTGCAGTGCACAAGCTAGGAGTGAAGTTTATATGTAATTTATATATAGCCATTTGCACCAAAATACGTAAAATAGACAAGTCTAGGATTTCAAGCAATTCTGAAATACAAAATAAATTTTTGGGCAGTAGGCACTCAGTTATCAAGATCAATAGRTCTTAAAAACCCGCAAAACGTTTTTTACTACTTAACGCTGGGATCTCCACATTGGTTTCCTTTAGATATTTGTTTTTATGAATGCATCAGGTAAGACAGCTTAGAGCACAAAATCTCGCGTGACATTTCCTCGCACTACAATTGTTCAAAAAGCGTCGTTGACTCCATGGTCACGTTGTGGCAGTGATATAATATAAATAGCCGCTATCAAAGAATTGACCGTTAGCATTTTTGACTTACCGACAACAGTTGGTTCAAGGTCAACGAAGACTGCTCTAGGAACATGTTTCCCTGCACCTGTCTCGCTGAAGAAAGTGTTGAACGAGTCGTCGCCACCACCAATCGTCTTGTCACTCGGCATCTGACCATCGGGCTGGATTCCATGTTCAAGACAGTACAACTCCCAACAAGCGTTGCCCAT